ACTTCGGTTCTTGCTCTGCCTCGGCATATATATCCAATATTTGGAGGTCTTGTGGAGTTTGAAAAGTGTGGATCGAGTGAGCGCGCGTTGGCGTGTGGTGAAGGGTATGGGAATGGTGAGGCGGCGGGAATGAAGGAAGTGTTGGGAGGAGAGTTTGCGAGGACATGGCTGGCTGGCGACTGCAGCCGCTGCCAGAGAAGCGGCGGGGCTATGTGAATTTAATTACACCACCTAACATTTTAGGTGCCTCTCCCTAGACCTGTAAACGGGTCGGGTTTGTTAGATTTTGATCGGGTTCAATCCGACCCGTTAAGTTTACGGATCATCCGAACCCAACTCGTTAAACTTAATGGGTCATCTGAACCCGACCCGTTAAGTTAACAGGTCATCCGTTTCATCCGTTAAAATTATTATTATTATTATTTTTTTTTGCATAGTTTATTTTTTGTTGTTAAGACTTTACTGAAATTACTAAAACATTATCAAGTAACGGGTGCTAACGAATGTTAACGGCTGCTAACGGGTCTAACAGGTTGACCTAAAGTGATCTGTTATTTAACGGGTTATTAATGGGTTTACCCGTTAGTGACCCAACCCGTTAATCATCCACTCAAATACTAATATTAACGGAGCAGATCGGGTCGGGTTAATGGGTCGGGTCCAAAATACTAGGTCTACCTCTGCCCTTAATGGGGCTAATGTTGTGCGCTGTAGTGACGAAGATGACGAAGGTGGAGGTTAGTTTTTTCCTCAAATATTCTTCGTCACATAATCTTATTGTTAGCGTGTGTAACTCTGTACTAATCTAGTCGTCCTATCTAAAATTTTAAATTTGGTTTTTGATTATGATATTAGATACTGATCATTGTGCAGGACCTGGAACTGGAAACTTAGTCGCTAAAATCTCAATAGGTAATTATAACTTTACTTGCTTAGACTACAAGGTTTATAGCATGTCTGCAATGCCTACCATTCGATCGAATAAATCACTATATTCAACGTATATTCAGCAGGTGCAGTTGCGGGTCTCATATTTCTAATCGTTATCGTTTGCTGCTTAAGGAGAAAGTTGTCATCATATAGATTTCTTTTCTTTTGGAAGAAGCAAAACCAAAATCGTCAAATTGTAGAGACCTTTCTAAGGAGCTACGGGCCGCTTCAAGTACGAAGGTATAGCTATTCGGAGGTCAAGAAAATGACCAACTCCTTCAAAGAAAAATTAGGACAAGGAGGCTATGGTGCTGTTTACAAAGGAAAGTTAAAGGACGGCTGTCTTGTAGCAGTGAAGGTCTTGACAAAACTAACAGGAGATGGAGAAGAATTTATAAATGAAGTGGCAGCCATTAGTAGAACTTCCCATGTCAACGTCGTCGCCTTGTTAGGCTTTTGTTTTGAGGGTTCCAAAAGAGCTCTCATCTATGAATTCATGCCTAATGGATCTCTAGAGAAATTCATATTTGATTCAAATACTCCCAATATAGGTCATGATCACTTGGGATGGGAAGCATTGGATCAAATTTCACTTGGCGTTGCTCAAGGCTTGGAGTATCTACATCGTGGTTGCAGCACAAGAATTTTGCATTTCGACATCAAACCTCACAACATTCTTCTCGATGAAAACTTCACCCCAAAAATCTCGGATTTTGGCCTTGCCAAAATATGCAACAGGAAAGAGAGTATTGTCTCAATGTTGGGCGCTAGAGGTACAACAGGTTACATTGCTCCAGAAGTATTTTCTAGAAACTTTGGAAATGTCTCACACAAGTCGGATGTGTACAGCTACGGAATGATGCTTTCAGCGATGGTTGGAGGAAGAAGGAACATCGATGCTGAAGCTGAAAATACAAGTGAAATATATTTTCCGCATTGGATTTACAAGCATCTTGAACTGGACGAAGAGCTTGGGCTGCAGAGTGTTGCAAACGAGGAAGACAAAGCAAGAGCAAGGAAGATGATCATAGTGAGCTTGTGGTGCATACAAACTGATCCTTCAAAACGGCCAGCGATGAAGGAAGTGATAGATATGTTAGAAGGGAGTGTTGATTCGTTGCAGATACCTCCCAAGCCTTACTTATATTCTCCTCCAAAATCCCCGGCGGATTCTTTAACCACATTGGTATCAATAAAGTAAAACCCTGTATTTTACTTGAACAAATCTATGTTTTTTTTTAGGCAATCTAAATAATGAAGCATGTGTTTCATGTTTCCCTCCCACCACCCCAACCCCCCCTCTCTTCTATATATGAATCAACACAGTAGGAGTGACCCTACTACTACCCTCCTGCAATCATATATATATATATATATATATATATATAGGGAATTGGCACTTCAAAATTCTCATTCTACACTCCAAACTTTCTATATTTAGAAAGAAAAATACACTTGTGAGAAGTGTAGAATGAGATTTTTGGAATGCCAACAACACTTCCCTGTATATATATATTAGTAATGTGAAACATTTGCATTTGTGGGTCAGACTAGTTGATCAAAGCAGTGTGCCCGCTTCATCTCCCTTGCACCCAAGTTCGGATCCACTTCTCCATAAATCAGAGCATTTTAGAAAATTTTTGTCAAAAAATAGGTGAAAACAATTATTTGATGTGGAAAGCTTTCTACCATACAGCTAAGCTAGGATCCAATTTATTGTGCTAAATTTGATGTTGTCACGAATGGAATGATCAAGTAGATGGAACAGTTCTTGCGAAACCACGTGAATGTATTTTGACAAACAGTGAAGATAATTGAAGTCGTGTTGAACTTCAAGATTTTTGGAGCACCTTTGACAATGAGTGAATAGGCAGTACCCTATTACTTGAAAAGTCGTTGTATGATGGTGCTTGATGAATTTTTAAGCGAAAAGCATATTGCATATGATCAACCTAAGCAAAACTATCCATCCACGCTGCCAATACGATTGAAATGAAATTTCGATTTTAGACGTTAGCTCTTGAAGTGAATAAAAAAATGTGATGTAGATGACCGCTCGATTTAAAAAGTGATTAGTTGAAAATAAGCTTTTTGATAAGCTCACTTTGAATAGAGTCTCAAACTGATGAAACTGCAAGTCAGTGAAAAACATTAGAAAGACAACAAAATCATGGTTACAAAATGACATACATTCAAGATATAAACTTTTGCAAGTTGTATATTACTCTTCCTTCAACCTCGCCCATTCTACACATAAAAATATATTAAAATTAAAGTCGTCTCCGAACTCAAAGTGCACTTCTATTATTTTGAGGGATTAAACTATCCATTTCTACGATCAAATCCTACTTTAGAACAAAGCAATCAACGATATGGCTCTGAAGTTAAACGAATTAACAATCGACTGATACTACTTTTGATAACATAACCTACATTTGGACATGTGAACATCGAAGTTATATCAAAAAGCCACAAAGCATGGCTATCTTGAGTTTTCATGGAATTTGTGTTTTGCTAGAATTTTTGAAATGCACATGCCATATCATTGACAAAGCATATTTTAATGGATTTGATTCTCTCCTCTCCATCAATCTTATTCGAATGCTCAAGAATAAGTCACATAATCTTCTTATTTTATCTTTTCTATAGAGAGAGAAAAAGGAAGAGAAAACTGAGAGAGGAGAGAAGAGGAGGGAGCGGAGGAGAAAATGAACGAGAGAGAATCCAATATCATTTTAAAGTACTTTGTCAATATCATATGTGAAAGTACACAATGTAGTAACCTTAAGCAAGAAATGATAGATTGATTTTATTCTTACTTTGAGACAAATCTTTAGTAAAGTTGTTTGATTAGGACAACTCTTAAATTAATATAAAATTGGCTAGAATTAAAATATAAGAAGTATTATACTTTTAATAGGACGTGCCTTACAAATGATATGGTCATGGATCTGTTGACACTTTCTTTTTGTTCCTACAAACTACAACAAACTTTAGAGCTTAATTACTAAGTGATTTTATTTGTTAAGCGTATATATGATCAAGAATTCAAATTAAGAGGAGAGCCAATCAAATAAAACAACAATGTTAATGTAACAATGCCTTAAATTGTTATAAAAAATGAACGAGTCAATATGTATTTTAACTCGTTCGTGTATCGTATAATTTGTAGACATCATCTTTGTTAAACAAATTATTGTCATGACTATACAGAACAATGCCCGTATTAATCAAGCGTGGCTGTTTTGGCCATTCCACAAGAATCGTAAATTATAAATAAATAACAAATTTGACTCGACGACTCATTTAATGGAACTTGTGAAACCCTAAGACTTGAAGGAGCGCGTACGGAAGATCGTCTGATTTACAAGACAAGAATCACTCCTCTGGTAGGATCTCGGAGCGGGCCCGAATAAATCCACCGACGTCCCCACGTGTCCGCTCCTCCTCCATCAGGAAATGCTAATCTACGGCAGCACACAAATACTATTTCATGAACCCCCATCACACTCCCTCTATTCCCCGAGTATGATATCCATCAGCTGATATGAAACGACATAAAGTCCTCGCGTTACACGGCTTTATACGTTCCGCTGTCACGCTGGCCGCTTGGCAGTGAAAGGTAAATTGCATTGAAGCTCCTCTACTTCCCAATAATTACACCAACGGTCCACCAACCCCTCGTTAAACTTAGACCTGGTTTGGTACTGAGGTGATTCTGAAAAAAGCTGCTATAAAAAAAAACTAGGAGCTGTTTTTGTGTTTGGTAAATACTCAGCTTCAGTTTTTTTTCACAGTTTTGAATGAAAAAAAGCCAAAAACAAGAAGCTGCAAAACCTAGCTTTAAAAAACCAGCTTTTTTTCACATCTGTTTTACATAAAAGTTTACCAAACACTCTAATACTGCTTTTTTTTTTTCAAAAGCACTTTTACAAAAAAGTTTACCAAACACCCTGCTGCTTTATTTCACAGCTTATTCTCACAGCACAGCAATACCAAACCAGCCCTTATACCCAAGACATTTCACTCGCCCCCTTCACTCTCCCTCTGCTCTCACTTGCAGAGAGACAATGACAGCCACGGCCGCCGTGCCACTCTTCTCCTCACGAGCTTCTTCTTCGCTGCTCTCCACGTCTCTTCGAATCCAGATGCCAAACCTCTCCTATCATTCAAAGCGACGTTGGACGCGTCCAACAAGCTCACCACCTGGAACTCCACCTCCGTTGACCCGTGCACCTGGACCGGCGTCTCCTGCACCAACAACCGAGTCTCTTGACTCGTCCTCGAGAACCTCGACGTCCGCGGCTCGTTCCAGCCACTCACCGCGCTAATTCAGCTCCGAGTTCTGAGCCTCAAGCGTAACCGCCTCTCCGGCCCCATTCCAAACCTCTCCAACTTCACCGCCCTCAAACTCCTATTCCTCTCCTACAACGAACTCTCCGGCGACTTTCAGCCTCCGTAACATCTCTCTCTCGTCTCCACCGTTTCGATCTGTCCTACAACAACCTATCCGGCGAGATTCCCGCAACGGTCAACCATTTAAACCATCTTCTCACTCTCCGGCTCGAGGAGAACCGGTTCTCCGGTTCGACTTCGGGTCTGACCCTGCCGAATCTGCAGGACCTCAATGTGTCTGCGAACCGTTTGACCGGCGAAATACCCAAGTCCTTTTCGACTTTCCCTATAACCGCTTTCGCTCAAAACCCGGGTCTATGCGGGTCTCCGATGCAGAGCTGCAAGGGTACATCAAACGACCCGACCCGGCCTGGATCCGACGGAGCCATTGCGTCTCCTGTAATGCCTGCTGCTAACCCAACCGTCGTAGCGTCGTCGCCGAGTTCGTTACCCGGGAACTCAGCGCCGAACAAATCGGGAAATCCTCACCGAAGTGGTAGCGCGAAAATGAGTCCGGAGGCTCTAATCGCCATTATAGTTGGCGACGCTTTGGTTCTCGTGCTGGTTTCGCTGCTACTGTACTGCTACTTCAGGGGGAATTTCAGCGCCAAAATGCGGCAGGGCAAGGGCGGCTCGAAGCTTCTAGAAACTGAGAAGATCGTGTACTCGTCGAGCCCCTACTCCGCCGCCCAACCGGTGTTCGAGCGGGGACGGATGGTGTTCTTCGAAGGAGTCAAGCGTTTCGAGCTCGAGGACCTGCTCAGGGCCTCGGCGGAGATGCTGGGGAAAGGCGGGTTTGGGACGGCGTACAAGGCGGTTCTCGACGATGGCAATGTGTTGGCGGTTAAGAGGCTCAAGGATGCTCAGATTGGCGGGAAGACACAGTTCGAGCAGCACGTGGCGATGCTGGGGCGGCTCAGCCATCCCAACATTGTGAGCTTGAGGGCTTATTACTTCACCAGGGAGGAGAAATTGTTGGTATACGATTACAGCCCAATGGCAGCCTGTTCTAGGTTCTCCACGGTAATTTTATTTCAGTTTTCCTGCTTAATTTCTGTTTGGTTGCCAAGATTTTTTTTTTTTTTTAAATATTAGTTTAATTCTAGGTTTCAATTTGGTGCCTTGTTTTCTGTACGTTTAGGTCAAACGGGGTCAAAATTAGGGTCTTTTTTGTAATTATATATTTAGGGTTTTACTGTCCGACTGTCAACTCCAGTTCTGTCTTATTCCTTTTACTTTTGTCTTTGTTTTTTGCTGCCTTCTTTTCCTTCCTGCTCTGAATATGACCAAAAAGCGACTAACTCCGCTGCATTTCACGCTTTTGCATAATTGTCCTTATTTGCAAGGCCTGCATTCACGACTCGTGCAGGCCGCTTAGGCTCACGCAAGGTTAGGTAAGGGCAAATACCCATCGGTTAAGAGGATTATTCGCGATTATAAATAGATATCCATTTAACCGTTTATTTTAATATATATAAAACTTCAAAAAAAAAAAAAAAAAGTTTCTAACTAAGTTTAGTATCCCAAGATGTCTTTAGTTATAAAGGGCCATAAAATATGTATAAATATATATATATATATATTTATGCTTCACTTGAAAAAAAAATATAGTTGATAAAACGGGTTAATGTTTAATATACGTGATTGAATGTGTTAAAGCATTAGAGTGTTCGACAGTTTTGTTTTGGAATCTTTTGAAGCTTTGATCAATAAAAGATCATGATTACCTTAAGCATTTAGAAACATGTTATTATCAGATGATACGTACATGTATATATATATATATATATTTAATTGGCCTCAAGTTTTCAATAAATATTTGACCCCAAAATTAGAAATCGATTAAATGGCTTGGATCGATGAACACATGTTTCTAAATAAAAATCCAAATATTTATTAAATTAGCTTATTAGCAAACTGATGCGTACTTATATATATATATATATGTATATATGTATACAAGAATATTAATTACAACCATGCATGATTCTTGTAATAGATTGACTGATAAATAATTGGAAGACATCGCATATATTCATAAATAATATTGCCGTTAATATAAAAATACATGTTAAATGTACTTATAACGATATTTAATAGTTAAAAAAAGAAAATTATAACAAATTTCTTTTTAATTTTCAAGTTAAAAAAATAGGTTGACGGGTAAAAAAAAAAAAAGTAAACATGTACACGGTTATGGGTAAACGGATATGGTTAACCGTTTATAAACGATTATGAGTATGAGTATACCTGTTTATGTAAATACCCAACGGGTAAACGGTTATGCGAATAAAAGCTTAAATGGTTATGGGTAAATAACTGCAGTTATCCACCCGTCATAAACGTTGCCCATCTTTAATAGCAGCTAGTTGGCCTTTCCTACCAATTCAAGCCCACGCTATGTCTGCAGGTAGTGGCCTACGTCATTGCTGATGTCAAACAGTAAACAGAGCGGGTCCACCCATCGAGCCAAAAGCCTCACCGTCCGTCGTTGAATTAATATCTCTATTAATCCAAATTTATTACCTAAAGTACCCTACCAAACCCAATTAAAATGTATATTTATCTTTACACCCATTATAAAATAAAATCTCATAGAAACTCGAAAATAAAAAATCTTTTGAATCATTTGTCTCCCCTCACCCCTTGAGCTCTTTGGAAATAGAGCTTTTTGTTTTTCAAATTTTTCTTTGCATTTTTTTGCTGCATCTTATTTGATTTTTTTTTATAAAGTTTCAAATTTCTATTGGAGCTGCGTACAACATTATAGCATTTTCCATGGCTGTTGTTTTTGATTTATTTGTATTTAGGTGTTTGTGTGTGTCTGTTTTTTGCTGCGATTATTTAATTTTATTTGATGAAAGAAATTCATCTAACCTGAACTCACTAACATACACTACCACAAGCAATTTCTTAGAAGGAAAACAAATGTCAATCATAACTGCAACAAAATTGTAATATGAAGTTGAAGTGAAGGGTTTCGTATCGGAGAACAAGCTAGCACGAAAACAACTTTCGCTTTCTGATATGCCAAAGCCAAACAAATTACTAATACTTCTACTTTCCATAGAAAGGGTCTTCTATATCAATACTTTCATTACAACTGTTGTAGAATGTTGACGGAAAAAAAATTGAAACCCAAATACTCATCTTTTTACATTCTAAGAAAAATTGAAATTAGCGGAACAAAAATTTTCATAAATCGAGTCATACTTTAGTTGGAGAATTCAAAATTTCAAAATCACTAACCATTTACAAAAAAAACTTGTTTTTCTCCGTAAAAACTATTAGGGTTTTAGCAAGAATGAACACAGGATAAACAATAAGTAATGATAAGATTTAATTATAGTGCATGGTTTATTGATAAATTTTAATTTTATTATTAATTTCATTTTATACTCGATGGTAATTATGCAATAGGGTAAAAAGGGTAATGTATAATTAAAATTTAAGTTGAATGTAGAAATATATTACATGAGTTTAAATAAAATTTCCTTAATCTAAATATCAATCTGCTTTAAAGCTAAAATCCTTCTGTTGATTCCTTTCTAAGTTCCGCTAATCCATGTTCGTACGACGGCAAGGATAAAACTTACGATCAGAATCTCTCTATATCGAAGAACCAACAAAACCCTTTGTAGACATCGAAATTTCGGAAGGAACTTTTGTGTTCACACCCATCACAATGCAAGAAACTAGAATCTCCCTAAATCGAAGAAATCACAGGCAAGAGACTAAGGGCGGGTTTGGTATTGCTATGCATTGGAAAAAAGAAACTGTTTCTGCTGTGCTGTGAGAATAAGCTGATTTTGCTGCTTCACGTTTTCAGCTTTTTTTACCCAAAACTGTAAAAATAAGTTGTTTTTAAGTGTTTATCAAACATCTTTTTAAACTTAGCTTTTTTTTGCACCCATTTTTTATGAAAGTATGTTAATACCAAACCAGTACTAAAACGCATGGAGACTCGATGCGCTTCTCGGGTTCAATACTCTCAAAGGCTGGATGAAAGAGAGAGTAGATAACAAAACCCAGAAAGTCGTGGTTGCTTACGTAGCCATTGCGCCAACAGCAAGACTAACACTACAAGTCTTCGGGAAGGTAGCATTGTGGATAACGTTTTTCTCTCGTCTCGTCTCCTACTTACACCACCCCCACAGAAAATGACAGCCACAAACGACCAAATTTGTCTTGATGTTTTACTAAATTAAATTCCAACGTCAGAACTAGGATATACTTTTCAGCTATGGATCCATTCAGCGTTCACACGAATAAGTAGACCCGAAAGCCAGACGGGCCGGACACGAAAGATAAATCACGTTTCACGGAGCTACGAGTGAACACTGAACAGTCGATTCTTTCCGTAATATGTGTTGTGGATCAGAGGAGTTTTGAGGATTTTTGAATAGTATCATCGTGACGAGAATGGTTGAAGAGTCGAGGGGTCAAAGTCTTTCTGGTGCTGGTCATTGGGGAAGTTGGGAAGGAAACTCCCTAATAGGCCACGGAAGTCTTTAAGCCGACCAATCAAACTGTGTATCCAGCAACTTTTTTACATGGTTAGTTTCCACAAGTCTTCCGTCTCCTAATTTCCAAGTCAACTGGCGTGTTAAACAGCCAATTTCCTTAATATATTGCATACAAAGAATTCTGAACCTCTAAACAATTCAACACTCTTGTTCTGAAGAGGAGGAGTAGATTTTCTTATTGTTATTCCTTTGCGGCGCTTTCTTCTTGTTGATCAGCTCGAATCTTCGGATGGCTCCGGTGGCTTTGTTTATTCTCGCCGTTCTTGCTCAACTTGTGGTTCTGCACTCTGCTCAATATTCAGAAGCGGAACCCTCCAAACGTTGTCCAGGCCACTTCTGCAGTGAAACAGTAGGCCACATCAGCTTCCCCTTCAAAAGCCCGGGAGATCCTCCTGAATGCGGATTGTTCAAAGTCAATTGTTCAGTACCCGATCAGCCAAAAATCCAATTGAAAGAGAGAGGATACTGGTATGAATTCCAAGGCCCTTTATTTTCACCTTGGATTTCTATCAAAGACAGAGACCTTGCCGACCCCTTAGAAAAGAATCGCTGCGATGATAGAGTTTTGGACGCCTTGAGTCTTCCCAACATTTCTTCAATCCCTGAAGTATCATTATCCACACCCAATCTTACCCTTCTCAAATGCAACAACATCTTGGACAAAAATTCTTGTCCACAAGCTAAATATGTCTGCGGAAATGCTTACCATACGTATTATATCAATTCATCTAACAGTAATTTACCTAACCCCCCGCCGCCAGGGTGTACAACCGTTCAGGTCCCCAGGAATACGCTTAAGCCCAACACGTACCCTCCATGGACAGCTGAGTTTTACCTCGCAGTGGCGACACCAGAATGCTTTCAATGTCTTGACAGAAAAGGTGAATGCCTGGTTGAAGAGGGAAAATTTAAATGCACCAAAGGTATATTCATTTATATGACCTTTCTTTCTCTGACGTGCAATAATCCGATTCCTTTCTTCAAAGGATATAACTCTTAGAAACAGGAAACAGTTCATTGAAACACACAAGTATTAAATGATTGTTATGTATGCATTAGCCTCCTTTTTTTTTGAATGGTAACATTATTTGTGCCACTTCCATCTTCTGGGATTTAACTAACAGCAGTTTTCTTTGCAGATCAAGTTGCAGGACATAAGCAGTTGCAATTGAAGCTCGGACTAGGTAAGATTGTTATGTAAATGCAATCATCCAATTTGTTTTCTTCACATCAAATTTCAAATACCACTGTCTAGAAGCTTGCTTTAACCCATATATTGACTTATTGAGCCATCAAACCATATTTTCCTTCCTCTTTTCAACAAATCCAGTTGGTTGCTTCATGTAAATACTCTCTTCTAGGTCACCATTAAGAAAAGCCATTTTCACATCCATTTGATGCAACTCCAAATCAAAATTACATGATAACTCTCATTGAATCTTTAGAAGATACTGGAGAAAAGGTATCATCGTAATCAATACCTTCTCTCTGAGTAAAACCCTTTGCAACTAACCGGGCTTTGTATCTCTCAATTCGACCAAGAGCATCTCTTTTGATTTTATACACCCACTTGCAACTTATAGGCTTAATTTGAGAACTAGACTCCACAAGTGTCCAAACATTGTTCTTGAACATCACCTATGTCGAAATCAGTTTCTTGTAAATAAACATAGTTACTCACAATAGTACTTTCACTGCCAGAAACCAATTTTGCATTAGAGTTTTATATTTCAGTTGACCTTGGTTGAGGAAATAACAATACTTGATTGTAGCTTGTTTGTGCATTATTATCATAACCTTGAACCATCTCTTCAAAAACAAAATTTTCCCTTGATAGGTCTGAAACATCTTGATCTTCCAAGAAGGTTGCATTGTGTGTTTCTTGAATTCGGGTGTGGCCTTGAGGAACATTGAACCTATACCCTTTCAATTTTTTAGGATAACCTATGAAGTAACATGACTGAGTCCTTAAATCCAATTGTCTTTCATTTGGATTATAGAACCTGGTTTCAACTTTGCAGTCCCAAACATGAAAGTATCCAAAATTAGGTGTCCTGCCATGCCATAGCTCAAAAGGTGTGGAGGAAACAGATTTACTTGGAACTCTATTCAGAATGTAATTTGCAGTTTTCAAAGCTTCTCCCCATAAGAAACCTAGTAACTTGGACCTTGTCATCATGCTTCTAACCATACCAATAAGGGGTCATATTCCTCCTCTCTAAGACTCCATTTTGTTGAGGTGTCCCAAGTGTGTATATTGAGCTACAATACCAATTTTCTCCAGATAGAGTGCAAATGGTCCTTTTTGTTGTCCTGATTCAGTATACCTGCCAAAATATTATCCTCCCCTATCGGATCTAACAATTTTAATAACCTTACCTAATTGTTTTTCAACCTCATTTTTATAAATTATAAAGCATTTAAGGGCATCAGCTTTCTCACTAATGAGAAAAGTGTATCCAAGTCTAGAAAAATCATCTATAAAGTTGATAAAATATTTGTTTCCGCATATTGTTTTGACTGGAAAAGGACCACAGATATCAGTGTGTATAATTTCAAGTAATCCCTGACTCCTTTTGGCATCTAATTTCCTAAAGTTAGTCATTTTACCCTTTAAGCAATAAACACATTTAGTTGTAGTAGTGAGATCTAATTTTGGAATCAATTTAGCTTTTGAAAGTTTAATTATCCTTTCCTTTGAGATGTGTCCTTGTCATTTGTGCCAGAGAATGTATGAAGTGTCTTGCTCTAGCATCCTTTTATTACTAATATTCAAAACTGAGTGATCTAGTATCTCAACAGTGCATTCAAGACGCCACAAATTATCAAACAAGAAAGCAGTCCCTAAAATAGTGTCAAGACAGTTTTTCTTAAAGATTTTTAAGCACATATCATCAGCAAAAAAGGAGAGACCATCTTTTACAATTTTAGAAGCAAAAATTAAGTTCCTTCTCATCTTAGACACAAATAGCACGTCCTTCAACTCCAAAAGAAAACCATAAGTTAATTTTAATTTTACAATCCCAATTGAATTTACTGCAACTTTAGTCCCTTCCCCAACAAAAACGTTATATAAAGCATTCCCAATTTCCTTTTGTTTTTGAAAGCCTTCTAAAGAGTTAGTTATATGTACTGAGCATCCAGTATCAAACCATCAAGAATCAATAGGCACTTCACAAAGATTTGACTCAACACAGACAAGTACTTGGTTTCTTGATTCCTCATCTGATAGTATCAGTCATCCCACTTTCCAAGATGGAAATTGCCACTTTATTAGCCCTTGTCCATCTTTCATAATCTGATTTCTCAACCTTGGTGCTTTGATTAGTGACAATAGGCTTGGGATTATCAATTGCTATATCAAACTCATTAAGAGTCAATAGCAAATTGATATCCCTTCTCCATTTTTGGTAGTTGCTTCCACCAGTGAGGATTGGAATGTTTGCCAAGTTTAAAGTCTGCAGACACTGAACTTTAGAAATCACAATATGAACTTTAGATTCCTGATTTCATTCATCAGTCTATTGCACATCAGGACATCACAACTATTTAGATGGTAAGCACATATAGGATGAACGGTTTTATTGAAAAACTTCAGGCAAGCACAACATGTAATCCCAGAATAATTCATCTCAATCTCAAGAAGGTATTCACCTCGTACGAAATAGTCAAAAGTTAAATATAAACATCATTTGAAAACTGAATAACTTATTCAATGAAAATCAAAGCTTAATATATTCTTTACAGATGATCAATTCATATGCCCCCTGATTTCAAGTTTGAATCAATCATTAACGATAGGTTTAGTTATATAATTCTAATCAAACTTATGCAAATTTAAGGCGAAATTAAACTCGGATTTCATGCTAATTATACGGGGTTTCAGAATACATACCGTGATGAATGAGAGATTAAACATCGCGAAGCGGAAGGAAAAAGCAGACATATTCAATACACAGACCAACAAGGCACAAAAATCGCAGAGAAGAGAGAACATTGAAGAGAGAACAAAGATATAATATTCATCCCCTTAATCCCAGAAAAACCCAAACAAAATGCTGGTTTTCGAGTTCTAACGGTCAAGAATTTTGAATAACCTTATTTTATTCAAAAGCACCGTTTTGTATACTCCCAGATTTTTCTTGTAACCAGAACCTGTTTTGAAACCTGACAACTGAAGGTTTTGTTTTTTTTGTTTGTTTTTTTTTTTTTTAAATACATGATTCAATCTAGGGGTGGGCACGGTGCGGTTCGGTGCGGTTCCACCCCTAAATTGGAACCGGAACCGAAATATATTAACGGTTCGATTCGGTGCGGTTCCACTTAAATTTATGACTAGAACCTTACGGTTCGGTCTACACCGGTTCCGATTCGGTTCTTGCCGGTTTACGGTTCCTAATAATAAATTATTTGAACACCAAATCATTATGCATTCAAATACATCTTCTAAAACTGATTACATAAAGTTGCATACAACACATCTTTTTTAATGCAAATGTCTTTGGTAGTGGCACCAAGTCAACAAAAAGAGACAACTAAAATACATATGCACTAGTCAATCAGTCAACAAACAAAAAAATGATGAAACAAATTGCAAGTTTTCAGACTTCAGAGAGCAAGCAAGAAGCAACAGCTCCTGTACACAATTTTTCAACCTATTTTTCAACCTATTATACCATGACATGTGTGTGTATATATAATTTATTTATTTATTATTAATAAAACGGTTCGGTTCGGTTCGGCCGGTTCTTGGTCATTCGAAACCGGAACCGGAACCGGTTTGAACGGTTCGGTTCGGTTTTTCACTCAAAGTTGACTTTTCCGGTCAACACGGTTTTTTTCGGTTTTTTTTCTTACGGTTCGATGCGGTTTTGCGGTTTGACGGTTTTTATGCCCACCCCTAATTCAATCAACTTTGCTTGATTGAATTTAAGAACTTAAACCTATGGTTCTAATGCACATCAGTCTAATGCCAAAACAAAATCCTTCATAGACAAGAATTAGCTACAACTTCTCATAAGACTTTCTTATACCAATTGGACTTAATCACTTGTTGTCAAAACATCCAATCTCATGTTCATACTCTTACATAACTTGCTTAGAGCCTTAGATTAGTTTTTCTAAGTTTATGTGTTGTAATAAGGTTTATAGCATGTCTGCAATGCCTACCATTCGATCGAATAAATCACCATATTCAACGTATATTCATCAGGTGCAGTTGCTGGTCTCATATTTCTAGTCGTTATCGTTTGCTGCTTAAGAAGAAAGCTGTCATCATATAGATTTCTTTTCTTTTGGAAGAAGCAAAACCAAAATCATCAAATTGTAGAGGCCTTTCTAAGGAGCTACGGGCCGCTTCAAGTACGAAGGTATAGCTATGTGGAGGTCAAGAACATGACCAACTCCTTCAAAGAAAAACTAGGAAGTGGAGGCTATGGTGCTGTTTACAAAGGAAAGTTAAAGGACGGCTGTCTTGTAGCAGTGAAGGTCTTGACAAAACTAACAGGAGATGGAGAAGAATTTATGAATGAAGTGGCAGCCATTAGTAGAACTTCCCATGTCAACGTCGTCACCTTGTTAGGCTTTTGTTTTGAGGGTTCCAAAAGAGCTCTCATCTATGAATTCATGCCTAATGGATCTCTAGAGAAATTCATATTTGATTCAAATACACCCAACATAGGTCATGATCACTTGGGATGGGAAGCATTGGATCAAATTTCACTTGGCATTGCTCGAGGCTTGGAGTACTTACATCGTGGTTGCAACACAAGAATTTTGCATTTCGACATCAAGCCTCACAACATTCTTCTCGATGAAAACTTCACCCCAAAAATCTCGGATTTTGGCCTTGCCAAAATATGCAACAGGAGAGAGAGTATTGTCTCGATGTTGGGCGCTAGAGGTACAGCAGGTTACATTGCTCCAGAAGTATTTTCTAGAAACTTTGGAAAGGTCTCACACAAGTCGGATGTGTACAGCTATGGAATGATGCTTTTAGATATGGTTGGAGGAAGAAGGAACATCAACGCTGAAGCTGAAAATACAAGTGAAATATATTTTCCGCATTGGATTTACAAGCGTCTTGAACTGGACGAAGAGCTTGGGCTGCAGAGTGTTGCAAATGAGGAAGACAAAGCAAGAGCAAGGAAGATGATCATAGTGAGCTTGTGGTGCGTACAAACTGATCCTTCAAACCGGCCAGCAATGAATGAAGTGATAGATATGTTGGAAGGGAATGTTGATTTGTTGCAGATACCTCCCAAACCTTACATGTCTTCTCCTCCAAAATCCCTAGCAGATTCTTCTGCCGCTTTGGTATCAATAAAGTAAAAACCCTGTATTTTACTTGAACAAATCTATGTTTTTCTGAGGCAATCTAAATAATGAAGCATGCGTTTCATGTTTTATTTATTATTTTTTTCCCTCTATATATGAATTAACACAGTAGGAGTGACCCTACTAAGACCCCTCCTGCAATCATATATATATATATAGGGAATTGTTATTGGCATTCCAAAATTCTCATTCTACCCTCCAAACTTTCTATATTTAGAAAGAAAAATACACTTGTGAGGAGTGTAGAATGAGATTTTTGGAGTGCCAATAACACTTCCCTATATGTATATGCATGTGTGTGTATTAGTAATGTGAAACATTTGCATTTGTGGGTCAGACTAGTTGATCAAGGCAGTGTGCCCGCTTCATCTCCCTTGCGCCCAAGTTCGGATCCACTTCTCCATAAATCAGAGCATTTTAGAATATTTTTGTTAAAAAAGAGAGGTGAAAACAATTATTTGGTGTGGAAAGCTTTCTACCATACAGCTAAGCTAGGATCCAATTTATTGTGCGAAATTTGATGTTGTCACGAATGGAATGATCAAGTAGATGGAACGGTTCTTGCGAAACCACGTGAATGTATTTTGACAAACAGTGAAGAGAATTGAAGTTGTGTTGAATTTCAAGATTTTTGGAGCACCTTTGGCAATGAGTGAATAGGCAGTACCCCATTACTTGAAAAGTCGCTGTATGGTGGTGCTTGATGAATTTTCAAGCGAAAAGCATATTGCATATGATCAACCTAAGCAAAACTATCATGATCAACCTAAGCAAAACTATCCATGCACGCTGCCAATACGATTGAAATGAAATTTCGATTTTAAACGCTAGCACTTGAAATGAATAAAAAAGTGATGTAGATGACCGCTCGATTTAAAAAGTGATTAGTTGAAAATAAGTTTTTTGATAAGCTCACTTTGAAGAGAGTCTCAAACTGATGAAATTGCAAGTCAGTGAAAAACATTAGAAGGACAACAAAATCATGGTTACAAAATGACGTACATTCAAGATATAAACTTTTGCAAGTTGTATATTACGCTTCCTTCAACCTCGCCCATTCTACACATAAAAAGACATTAAAATTAAAGTCGTCTCCGAACTCTAAGTGCACTTTTGTTATTTTGAGGGATTAAACTATCCATTTCTACAATCAAATCCTACTTTAGAACAAAACAATCAACGATATGGCTCCAAAGTAAAACGAATTAACAATCGATTGATGCTGCTTTTGATAACATAACCTACATTTGGACATGTGAACATCAAAGTTATATCAACAAGCCACGCACGGCTATCATGAGTTTTCATGAAATTTGTGTTTTGCTAGAATTTTTGAAATGCCCATGCCATATCATTAACAAAGCATATTTTAATGGATCTGATTCTCTCCTCTCCATCACTCTTATTCGAACGTTCAAGAATAAGTCACATCATCTTCTTATTTTATCTTCTCTATAGAGAGAGAAAAAGGAAGAGAAAACTGAGAGAGGAGAGAAGGAGAGGGAGCGGAGAAGAAAATGAACGAGAGAGAATCCAATTTCATTTTAAAGTACTTTGTCAATATCATATGTGAAAGTATGCAATGTAGTAACCTTTAAGCAAGAAATGATAGATTGATTTTATTCTTACTTTGAGACAAATCTTTAGTAAAGTTGTTTGATTATGACAACTCTTAAATCAATATAAAATTGGCTAGAATTAAAATATAAGAAGTATTATACTTTTAATAGGACGTGTCTTACAAATGATATGGTCATAGATATGTTGACGCTTTCTTTTTGTTCCTACAAACTATAACAAACTTTAGAGCTTAATTACTAAGTTATTTTATTTGTTAAGCGTATATATGATCAAGAATTCAAATTAAGAGACGAGCCAATCAAATAAAACAACAATGTCAATGTAACAATGCATTAAATTGTTATAAAACTCGAACAAGTCAACATGTGTTTTAACTCATTCGTGTATCGTATAATTTGTAGACATCATCTTTGTTAAACAAATTATTGTACTATACAGAACTATGCCCGTATTAATCAAGCGTGGCTGTTTTGGCCATTCCACAAGAATCGTAAATTACAAATAAATAACAAATTTGACTCATTTAATGGAACTTGTGAAACCCTAAGACTTGAAGGAGCGCGTACGGAAGATCGTCTGATTTACAAGACAAGAATCACTCCTCTGGTATGATCTCGGAGCGGGCCCGAATAAATCTACCGACGTCCCCACGTGTCCGCTCCTCCTCCATCAGGAAATGCTAATCTACGGCAGCACACAAATACTATTCCATGAACCCCCATCACACTCCCTCTATTCCCCCCCGAGTATGATATCCATCAGGTGATATGAAACGACATAAAGTCCTCGCGTTACACGGCTTTATACGTTACGCTGTCACGCTGGCCGCTGGCAGTGAAAGGTAAATTGTATTGAAGCTCCTCTACTTCCCAATAATTACACCAACGGTCCACCAACCCCTCATTGAACTTATACCCAAGAGATTTCACTCGTCTCCTTCACTCTCTCTGCTCTCACTTGCGGAGAGACAATGGCAGCCACGGCCGCCGTGGCCACTCTTCTCCTCACGAGCTTCTTCTTCGCTGCTCTCCACGTCTCTTCTAATCCAGATGCCAAACCTCTCCTATCATTCAGAGCGACGTCGGACGCATCCAACAAGCTCACCACCTGGAACTCCACCTCCGTTGATCCGTGCACCTGGACCGGCGTCTCCTGCACCAACAACCGAGTCTCTCGACTCGTCCTCGAGAACCTCGACCTCCGCGGCTCGTTCCAGCCACTCACCGTGCTAATTCAGCTCCGAGTTCTGAGCCTCAAGCGTAACCGCCTCTCCGGCCCCATTCCAGACCTCTCCAACTTCACCACCCTCAAACTTTTATTCCTCTCCTACAACGAACTCTCTGGCGACTTTCCACCCTCCGTGTCCTCTCTCTTCCGTCTCTACCGCCTCGATCTGTCCTACAATAACTTATCCGGCGAAATTCCCGCAACGGTCAACCATTTGAACCATCTTCTCACTCTCCGGCTCGAGGCGAACCGTTTCTCCGGTTCGATTTCGGGTCTGACCCTGCCGAATCTGCAGGACCTCAATGTGTCTGCGAACCGTTTGACCGGCGAAATACCCAAGTCCTTTTGGACTTTCCCTATAACCGCTTTCGCTCAAAACCCGGGTCTATGCGGGTCTCCGATGCAGAGCTGCAAGGGTACACCAAACGACCCGACCCGGCCTGGATCTGACGGAGCCATTGAGTCTCCTGTAATGCCCGCAGCTAACCCAACCGTCGTAGCGTCGTCGCCGAGTTCGTTACCCGGGAACTCTGCGCCGAACAAATCGGGAAATCCTCACCGAAGTGGTAGCGCGAAAATGAGTCCGGTGGCTCTAATCGCCATTATAGTTGGCGACGCTTTGGTTCTCGTGCTGGTTTCGCTGCTACTGTACTGCTACTTCTGGCGGAATTTCAGCGCCAAACTGCGGCAGGGCAAGGGCGGCTCGAAGCTTCTAGAAACTGAGAAGATCGTGTACTCGTCGAGCCCCTACTCCGCCGCCCAACCGGTGTTCGAGCGGGGTCGGATGGTGTTCTTCGAAGGAGTGAAGCGTTTCGAGCTCGAGGACCTGCTCAGGGCCTCGGCGGAGATGCTGGGGAAAGGCGGGTTCGGGACGGCGTACAAGGCGGTTCTCGACGATGGAAATGTGGTGGCGGTTAAGAGGCTCAAGGATGCTCAGATTGGCGGGAAGACTCAGTTCGAGCAGCACATGGCGGTACTGGGGCGGCTCAGCCATTCCAACATTGTGAGCTTGAGGGCTTATTACTTCGCCAGGGAGGAGAAATTGTTGGTATACGATTACATGCCCAATGGCAGCCTGTTCTGGGTTCTCCACGGTAATTTTATTTCAGTTTTCCTGCTTAATTTCTGTTTGGTTGCCAAGAAATTTGTTCTTTTTAAAATATTAGTTTAATTCTGGGTTTCAATTTGGTGCCTTGTTTTCTGTACTTTTAGGTCAAACGGGGTCAAATTTAGGGTTTTCTTGTAATTATATATTTAGGGTTTTACTGTCGGTCCTGTCAACTCCAGTTCTGTCTTTATCTTCCTTTTACTTTTGTGTTTGTTTTTTGCTCCCTTCTTTTCCTTCTTTCCTGCTCTGAATATGACCAAAAAGCGACTAACTCCGCTGCACTTCACGCTTTTACGTAATTGTCCTTAGTTGTAATTATCGTGAACTAACGATGGCTAACTTGAACAGGAAACCGTGGACCCGGTCGGACTCCGCTGGACTGGACAACGAGGCTGAAAATCGCAGCCGGAGCGGCTCGAGGCTTGGCCTGCATTCACGACTCGTGCAGGCCGCTTAAGCTCACCCACGGTAACATCAAGTCCACCAACATCCTCTTAGACAAGACTGGCAACGCCCGCGTCTCCGACTTCGGACTCTCCGTTTTCGTGCCTCCTCCGCCCTCCACGTCGTCCGCTCCGCGATCTTGCGGTTACCGCGCTCCCGAGACGTTGGACGGTCGGAAGTTGACGCAGAAATCAGACGTGTACGCTTTTGGTGTTCTGCTGCTGGAGCTGCTCACGGGGAAGTGTCCCTCCGTGGTGGATAATGGCGGGTCCGGGGGAGGATACGGTGGGCCTGTGGACCTGCCCAGGTGGGTCCAGTCTGTGGTCAGGGAAGAATGGACGGTGGAGGTGTTTGACTTGGAGCTAATGAGGTACAAGGATATTGAGGAGGAGATGGTGGGGCTTTTGCAGATTGCAATGGCTTGTACGGCCGCTTCGCCTGATCAACGTCCCAGGATGAGCCAGGTGGTGAAAATGATTGACGAGATTCGGGGCCTGTCTGGTTCGCCGAGTCACGAGGCGGGCTTTGAATCCATGTCCGAGTCATCGTCCTTGTCGGAGGACACTTGCGGAGCAAGTCAGTGATCGCACCACCAACCATTTTTAACGTTTTTGTGTTGTAAATCTACGGGTTTTGTTTTGTTGGCTTCAGTTCTCTTGCCTGCTTATTTAATCTCTAAATTTCGTTTGTGCTAATTTAATTACATCGATT